TTACTGTATTTAAAATGCTTTAAGGACTTTGTATTGTTAGGGAGGGGCAGAGTTACTATGTTAAGTATGCAAGTTAAAATTTTTAAATTAACCCTACAGTAATAAAGATAGAATATATCATTTCCAAACCATCAGAGAGAAAAAATGGGGAGTAGACAAAATTGAATCAATCTAATTGAAGGTAGTAAAAAGAGAAAGTATTTTTTAAAAAGAAGGGTAAACAAAAAGTATCAAAATTATATGGTAGAAATAAATCTATCACTAATCATCAACAATAACTAAACTCACCAGTTAAAAGATACTGCCCAAGTGAATTTTTTAAAGTAATAAAACTGGCCGGATGCAGAGGCTTACTCCTGTAATCTCAGCACTTTGGGAGGCCAAGGCAGGAGGATTGGTCCAGCTCAGGAGTTCCAGACCAGAATAGGCAACATAGTGAAATCCCATCTCCACTAAAAATAAAATAAAAAATAAATGAGCTGGCTGTGGTGGTGCACACCTGTAGTCTCAACTACTTGAGAGGCTAAGGCAGAAGAATCCCTTGAGCCTAGGAGATTGAGGTTGCAGTGAGTTATTAAATTAATAAAATCTAGCAATGATGTGTTTTTAGAGACACACTTAATACCTGAAAACAGAAATTTCATAAAAGGATGCGAAAACATACTAGAAAAATAGTATCATTTCCCCATTCCCTGCACCAAAATAGAGTTGGCATTGCTAGATGAATATAAAACAAAATAAGTCTTTAAGGGAAAAAGTATCATTTTATAAAGCATTTCTATAAAAATATAAAGTATCAAAACAGCCTCGAAAGGAAATAGAAAACATGAAACCTAAAATAATAAAGAATATTGAATCAGTAGTCAAAAATCTATCCCACCCATTTAAAAAAACTACTAGGCTCAGACCAAACTGTCAAGAAATAGATAACCCTCCATTTTATCGACTCAAACTTCCACAGAAAACAAAGAGTAATAATTCCTCAACTCATTTTATGAGGCTAATATGTCACTGATCTGAAAATTAGAAAAGGAAAGTAGAACAAGTAAAATTATAGGCCAACAGTGCTTATGAACAGATGTAAAAACCTAAATAAATATTAGCATTGAGTCCAGCAGTGTATAAATAGTATCATATTTCCTTGAATCTAAAATGTCACTCATAAGATGCACCCATTACTTCACAGACTAAAAGAAAATGCTATCACTTCAACTATGACATAATACTTTGTCATTCATACATTTTTTATATTTACTGTAAGAGCTTTTTAAACTTATACATACAACTTTTTATCATATCATTCCTATGCATTAATAACATAGGCAAAATAAATAAGGTAAGATACTCTTAAGACTTCATAATCAAGAGTCCAACTCTTCTAAATCACTTTTCAACTTAGAGTCTCTGACACTCATTGTCACCATCAAGAAGTGGTAATGCAACATTTCATGGAAAAGTCTCTACGACTATCTCTGGTATTTTCTTCTAAGCCATTGACACATATTCTGAAAGTTTTGATATTGAAGATTTTTTTCTTTAACTTACTGGAACATGACATTGTAGTACAGAAACATGCTGAAGGCCAGGTGGGGCGGCCTCCACCTGTAATCTCAACACTTGGGGAGGCTAAGATGGGAGGATCACTTGAGGCCAGGTACCTGTTCAAGACCAGCCTGGGCAACACAGTGAGGCCCTGTCTCTACATATATACATACATACATACATACACACACACATACATATATACATACAAACAAGAAATATACTTGAATATGTCCTGCTTAGATTTTATAAGTATAAGCATAGATTGCAAATCCCACTTGTTGTAAACAAAACTTTTAAAATACATTATATATATATATCACTTATTATATCAGTCCAGATTCAGAAACTTGTGGTAAGGCAGTTCCAGATAGTTTCATTTCACCTGTAAACTGTGTCACTTTGACTGATATTGTAATTTTCAAATATATAATATGTTTACAGATGTGCCCTGCATTAATGTTCCTATTTGGATTTTTGTTGAGTCTCCTGTCTGCTTGCCAAAACCTAGGATGCTTCAGGCCCATGTACAATCAAAAGCAGAGGCATCCTTGAGCGTTAAAGCATTGAACTAAGTGGAAAATGCAATATAGCACATAACTGAAGTGAAAAAAGGCTGTATTTTTGTGGTTTTTTTTTTAAATAAAAGTTTGTGTAACTTTTTTTGAAAAAAAGAAATACACTGGAATACTCCAAAACTGCTAAAATGAATGAATAGATAAATCTCAAAACTATTAAGTGCGAAATAAAAGCACAAAAGTATATCTACAGAGCGATACAATTTATACATTTTAAAAACCCAAGAAAAGGCTGGTTACTCACACCTGTAATCCCACCACTTTGAGAGGCCGAGGCAGGGGGACTGCTTGAGGCCAGGAGTTCAAGAACAGCCTAGGCAACATAACAGACCCCATCTCCACAAAAATAAATAAATAAATAAATAAATAAATAAATAAATAAATAAATAAATAAATAAAAAGAAAGGAAAAAAAGAAAAAAAGAAAAATTCCCCAGTTAGCTAGGTGTGGTGTCATGTGCTTATAGTCTTAGCTACTCAGGAGGCTGAGGTGAGAGGATTGCTTGAGCCCAGAAGTTTGAGGCTGCAGTGAGCTGATTATGCCACTGCATTCCAGCCTGGGTGACAGAGTGATGCCCTGTCTCTAAATAAATTAAATAAATAAATACCACAAACGAATTTTTTATGTTGTCACAGGTATGCAAAAGAATAAAGAATGGCCAGGCACAGTGGCTCACTCCTGCAATCCCAGCACTTTGGGAGGCCGAGGTGGGTGGATCATCTGAGGTCAGGAGTTCAAGACCAATCTGGCAAACATGGTGAAACTGTCTCTACTAAAAATACAAAAGATTAGCCAGGCGTGGTGGCAGGCACCTGTAATCCCAGCTACTCGGGAGCCTGAAGCTGGAGAATCGCTTGAACCTGGGAGGTGGAGGTTGCAATGAGCCGCGATTGTACCACTGTACTCCAGTCTGAGCAGCGAAACTGTCTCAAAAAAAAAAAATTAAAAAAAAAAAAAAAAGAGTGGGAAAAATAAAAGTACATAGGCAATAAAGATCACCCCTAAGGAGGAAGGGTGGAAAAAGCATGATGGGGAGTGGGTGGGGAAAGCGGCATCTTAACATTTTGTACTTTGGTATTTCTTTAAAGAAAATCTGGCTGGGTACAGTAGCTCAGGCCTGTAATCCCAAAACTTTGGGAGGCCGAGGCAGGCAGATCACTTAAGGTCAGGAGTTTGAGATCAGCCTGGCCAACATGGCAAAACCCCATCTCTGCCAAAAATGTAAAATTAGCCAGGCATGGTGGCGGGCTCCTGTAATCCCACCTACTCGGGAGGCTGAGGTAGGAGAATCGCTTGAATCCGGAAGGTGGAGGTTGCAGTGAGTCGAGATGGTGCCACTGCACTCCAGCCTGGGTGGCAGGAGGGAGACTCTGCCTCAAAAAAAAAAAAAAAAGAAAAGAAAAGAAAAGAAAATCTGAAACAAATATGGCAAAATGTTACTATTTGTTAAAGCTAGGTGGAGGGTACAAACGTGTTTATTATATTACTTTCTGTCTTTTTTGGTATATTTTAAATATTTCAAAATTTAAACAATATTACACAGAAAAGATATGGCCATATGCATGGCATGCCCATTTTAAAAGGCCTATTCTATAGGATAAAGACAAGTTTAAAAAGGAGATCTTTCTTTATAACAGCAAAAAAAATTGAAAACAGAATTGGTAAAATAAATTGTGGTATAACCATACAATGCAATGCCGTGTAAACATACATAGTGATGGTTCAGAAGTCTGAATACTGGACCAGGTGTGCTGGCTCATGCCTGTAATCCAAGTACTTTGGGAGGCTGAGGCAGGCATATTGCCAAAGCTCAGGAGTTCGAGACCTGCCTAGTCAACATGGTGAAACCCCTTCTCTACTAAAAATACAAAAATTAGTCAGGTGTGGTAGTGTGCACCTGTAATCTCAGCTACTAAGGAGGCTAAGGCAGGAGAGTCACTTGAGCCTAGGAGGCAAGAGTTGCAATGAGCCAAGATCATGCCACTGCACTCCAGCCTGGGTGACAGAGTAAGACTCCATCTCAAAAAAAAAGAAGAAGAAGAAGAAGTCTGAATACTGACTTAGAAAGATGTTGATAGCATATTAAGTGGAAAAAAATAGGCTATAAAATCATAGGTTCTCAACTAGGGCATTAAATGGTTAAAGGAACCTTCTCCTACATGCACAAACAGGCCAAAGTTCCATTAATGCACCTGCCATATTTTAGTCTCTTATCAACTAACATCCATGGAAAGAAGTTAACCACAAGAACTCTAATAACAATAAAAAGCATAATAGATTAATTCTAGAGTTTCAAACAAGAAAGATATTGCTATAATATCCACACTGAACAGTTGTATTATGAGCCAAAAACAATTATTTCCCACTGCTGGTGTCAACAATTCTCCTCTTTCCAGATGAAACCTGTTCTACCTCACCATCTAGTCAGAGAGCTACCAGAGCTAGCACAGTAGCATAAATTGTTGATCATATATACAAAAAAAAAGCCAGGTAAAATATAAGAAATGATATCCAAAATAAATTGAGTCAGACATTATAAACAATGTAACCCAAAGCTACATGCCATATTTACAAGAGGAAAGAGTGGCAGCAAGACGTCACTGAAAGAATTTTGAGAGAAAATGAAACATTTTGTCCTACTACATTTATACCCTCTGATAAACTGGAAATTTACTTGGGTGTACTAAAACCTCTATTTTGTTAATTAAAACTTGCCAAAAGGTCTAAGAATCATAAAGATCCTATGCTATAACAACTGCAGTAGCATACAACAAAGGGTGGGGAGTTAGGACTCCTGGGGAAATATTTCAATTATTATTCCTTTACTGTAAAAGTATTTCTTGTGTTCTTTATACCTTGATGAAGTATTTTTTGAGACTGTTAAGATCCAAAAGATATAAACTGCATTTATTGTGTAGAAATTCAGAATGGCTCAGGCTACACAATAGTAGTCAGATGTAAAGTGTACTAAATTTCATCTTCTAGAAGGGTTGATTTTGAATTCAATCATCCTTTGAGAGAAGACATCCCAGCTCGCATAATTTCATCAACCAGGAGAATGTTGGTGGCAATCACTGTGCTAAGAAAAAAGATGAGAGGGTGAGTAAAGCCTACTAACCCACTCTTAGCTTTTTTCTCCAGCAATCTTTACCTATGTGGGGTACTTTAATGATGTTTGTATGATATTTTATGAGACAAGGCTGTTATAAATACAAATACAAATGTCATCGTTTTTTGGTTTTTTTTTTTTCCAAGATGGAGTTTCACTCTTGTTGCCCAGGCTGGAGTTCAATGGCGAGACCTCAGCTCACTGCAACTTCTGACTCCCACGTTCAAGCAATTCTCCCACCTCAGCCTCCCGAGTAGCTGGGATTACAGGTACCTGCCGCCATGCCTGGCTAATTTTTGTATTTTTAGTAGAGATGGGGTTTCACCATGTTTGCCAGGCTGGTCTTGAACTCCTGACCTCAGGTGATTCACCTGCCTCAGCCTCCCAAAGTGCTGAGATTACGGGTGTGAGCCACTGCACTGGCCCAAATGTCACCCTTTGTATTATAATTTAAACTCCTTTGCTGATAAGGTGCATTCCTGATTTATATTCCAGCAAAATTGAGCTCATTTTTACAATATCATTTGATTTTCTCCATCATGCATGTGCTACTATTTCAGTAAATTTCCCCTTTTCTTTCCCCCTCAAATAGTAAGATTAATTTTTCTTATAACTTAACACTGCTAGACTTAAAATATAAAAGGGACTATGGACTATAAAATGACAGAAGCTAGTCCTAATAACAATACCATACCTTTCAAACACTTGACAATTTTTCCACTGTACAATGACAAAAATAATAGAAACATTTTCATCTTAATATTATCAGTTATAACTCTACAGGTCTTTCACTTTATGTTCACATGAACTTACCAAGAGTGAAGAAGTTGTTTTTTTACACAATAATTATCCCAAACTCCTGCATCTGCTGCTACCATTGGCTCACCTGAAAAGTAAAAACAATTTTAATACCAAAATCTTACTATTTTCTATTAATATTAATTGATATCTTCTAAAAATATTTAATACACTACACCAAAACTACTTTTGTCAAGGTCATCAATTACCTCCATATTATTAAATCCAATGGTTGATTCTCAGGCCTCATCTATCAGTATTTAACACAGTTGATCACACTCTCCGGCCTACTCTTTGTTATCTTCCAGGATACCACACTCCTCTGGTTTTCTTTCTTTTGCACTAGTGGCTCCTTTTCTGATTACTTTGCTGGTTCTTCCTCTTCCTCTCTCACCTCTTAATGTTGGAGTACCCAAAAGTTCAGTCCTAGCCTCTTTTCTCTCTACCCTTAATCCCTAGGTGATCTCATCCAGACTTTTAGATTTAAACCATACATATCTGATGACTCTCAAGGTTTTTTGGGTGTTTTTGTTTTTTGTTTTCTTTTTTCTTTTTTTTTTTTGGTGTTTTGTTTTTGTTTTTGAGACAGAGATCTTGCTCGGTCACTCAGGCTGGAGTGCAGTGGTGTAATCTTGGCTCCCTGCAACCTCTGCCTCCTGGGTTCAAGCAATTCTCCTGCCTCAGCCTCCCAAGTAGCTGGGATTTCAGGTGCCTGCCATCATCCCTGGCTAATTTTTGCATTTTTAGTAGAGATGGGGTTTCACCATGTTGGCCAGCCTGGTCTTGAACTCCTGACCTTAAGTGATCCACCCACCTTGGCCTCCCAGAGTGCTGGAATTACAAGCGTGAGCCATTGCACCCAGCCTGACTCTCAAGTTTTAATCTCCAACCCAGATCTCTTCCTTGAATTCCAGACCCATATATCCAACTTTTTTAATTAAAAGATTACAGATGCTTCAACCTTGACTCTGCCAAACCTGAATGTTAATATCCTCTCACCCACAACCTGCTCCAGCCAGTCTTCTCCACCACAGTTGATTGCAACTCCAACCTTCTACTTATTCAGCTGACTTCTCTACAGAGTGGAGAGTGGCCAGAGGGATTCTCTTAAAACAGAATTAGGCCATGTGCCTGGCCAACATGGTGAAACCCTGTCTCCACTAAAAATACAAAAATTAGCCAGGCGTGGCAGCAGACACCTATATTCCCAGCTACTCCGGAGGCTGAGGGAGAATTGCTTGAACCCGGGAGGCAGAGGTTGCAGTGAACCGAGATCGCGCCACTGCACTCCACAGCATGGGAGACAGAATGAGACTGCCTCATAAATTAATTAATTAGGCCATGTCACACCTCTGCTCAAAATTGCTCCCTGCTCCTCTAAAGTAAAAGCCAAAGTTCTGAGCTGGGCCAAATGCCCCTGCATGATCTGATCTTCTGTCACCTCTCTCACCTCCTTCCTCAAAAACATCAGACACTGGCTTTTCCACTGGCTGTTCTCTTTCCCTAGAACACTTAACTCCAGTTGCCTACATGGCGGATTTCCTCATTTCCTTCCACTTTTTTTCAACAGACATCTTGATGATGCCTACCATGACCAACCTCTTTAAGCTGCCGTTCTCTTTCCACCCTCCTGTACTAGTGTTCATGATCATTGGTAAACCACTCTTTTTTTCATATAATTCATTTCTTTCTAAGATGCTGAAGGAGTTTATTTATTAAAGTTATTATTTACTGCCTACCTTCTCCCACTACAACATAAGCTCCCAGGGGCAGATTTTTTGTCTGTTTTGTTCTGTGTGAAGCCCAAGAGGAAAACAAGCACTCAATAACTATTTCTCAAACAAATGAACATTTTTTAAGAAGCTCAAAAATAAACTAAAGGCATCCAAAATTTAAATATTAAAGTTACCCAAATCTCTACTTCTTTACTATAAGATCTGGGTAACTAAAGAATAGCCTCTTTCTTTATTAAGCAGCTAATTTTCCTTCCCTTTCTTACCTGTATTCAAATCTATGCCCACAAGTTGTTTTGACTCGACATGCTCAGCCTGAACTTTTACTAGTGTTTCCTGTGGGTCATAACCAGCATTCTGAGCAAGAACCTTTAGGAATAAAAATAATAATAAATATATATGCATAATACCTTCACATATCTCAAATATCAAAATACTCTTTACTCTTGTAAAAACACATCTATAACATGGCAATCATCTCCTTTTGAAAAATTCCACTTTCAATCTAAATCAAATTATTATTTCATCTATCTAGTACTTTTTATATTTAAACATTGCCCCTATGCACATCACAGTAAATTCTGAGGACATCAGAGTTCCCCCATTTCCACTCTACTACATTAATTTCCCTCCTTGCAAAAGGTGTTTGTGTTTTTTTTTTAGTGTGGAAGGAAGTAGAATGATATTGTTGTTTCCTCTAGTGCTGCTAGTCACATGCCCTCCAATTCTTCATAGGCACTTGCTAAGGAAACCAGAATATTTGCAGCACCTTTGTGCCCCTCATCTTCACGACCGACCTGTGGTAACAGGGTTGGAGATACCCGCACTCCAAACCAGGCTCATTTCCAAGTGGTCCCAAATCACCAGCTGATGAGGAAAAAGGTACCACCAGTGTACACTGGGGTTACCACTTTCTGTCAACAACAAGATCATACTGACTTTGCTACTCTGGAGAAAGAAAAAATAGAAATCTAATTCACAAAGATTTCACAAATTATGAAAAATTCTAATAAAAATTAGCAAAGAGATTTTGCTGGCATTGTTAATAATGTTTTAATTCACGGTAATAGCATCTTTGAAGTAATTTTACTATATTTCTAAGGTGGTTTGAAACCAATTAAGGCAAGGAGAAAGGAATGGTTGCTTTCTGTTCTTTGGTTGCCACATGGAAAAATTCTGTTTTCTCTTTTTCTAGGAATTAAAATGATGATGACAAATGTAAGGTTGTATCTAGGAATGCTAAATAGCCTCAAGCCCTCACTCTCCACAATTTAAATTGATTACATTTGGATACCACTAACAAAACAAAGATGTACCATAAAATCTAACTAAATTTTAAATTCTAAACTTTTTCATTATGATTAATCATGAGTCATTTCTGAAAGAAATATTTGGAGCTGCTTTAATTTTTGGAACTGAGAGAAAGAAGCAAGGGGGTAAGTTGGCTATTTCATGAGATTGTGCAAGGATTCTGGGCTGTTATCCCAAAAGTTTCCCTGCTTTAGTTGTGAAATATCTAAGAGAAAACTGTGTAAGGAAATGAATATAAATACCTGTCTACTCCATTAACTATCAGATAATATGGGCAATTTGTAATTAAACACCTTTATGTCTAACCAGTTGTTATTTGGCCGAAAGGGTAGTTGTACCTTGGGAATAATGAGTAAGGCATCAGCAAAAGCCTGGACTCCAAGACGAGCTCTTCCTTTTATACTGTTCTTATATGTAACGAGAGCTTCAGCCATTGCCACTTCAATTGCACCAGCTCCAGGAACCATACAACCTATTGGAGAGAAAAAATATGATTGGCAAGACATGCCATAAAGACCAAAAAAGAGAGAGAGAGAGACAGAGAGAGAGAGAGAGAAAGAGAGAGAGAAAAGCAATTCACTATTTAAGTGTGTTGTATTATCTACAAAAACCAAATAAATTGCACGGCTTAGTAATTACTCAGTTATCTTATGAAACATCCTGAAGTTATATGTCATTAAATAAATAGGCATAGTACAGATAACTGGCTGCAAATAGCTTATTTCGCCGCTTATCCTCTGGTAAACAAGAATAATTTCTTTTTACCTTCATCTTACTCTTTTATAACTACTTTTTTTTTTTTCTGAGATGGAGTTTTACTCTGTCACCTAGGTTGGAGGTGTAGTGGCACGATCTCGGCTCACTCCAACCTCTGCCTCCCAGGTTCAAGCGATCCTCCTACCTCAGCCTTCTAAGTAGCTGGAATTACAGGCGTGCACCACCACACCCAGCTAATTTTTGTATTTTTAATAGATACCGGGGGGGGGGGGGCACCATTTTGGCCAGGCTGGTCTTGAACTCCTGACCTCAAGTGATCCACCCACCTCCGTCTCCCAAAATGCTGGGATTACAGGCGTAAGCCACCACACCCGGCTTTATGACTACTTTTAAGAGGTAGTTATTTATAATTTATATTGACAGGTAACTGATTACAATATCTGACATGAAAATTTTTTAGGCCAAGATAATTTGTCCCTAGTTTTTGATAGGGAATTCTTGGAACTCAATGAAGTATTTGTTTTTGGTGCTGGAGCATAACTTAAACTGCTATCTAAGAAAAAAATTAAGTGGTATTATTATTCTAAAGCAAGAGTTTTGGTTAAACACATCAAATTTCACATCAGTATATGACTTTTATATCTGCTACTTGTATGGTTTCATAAAGTTTATGACTCTTATTTAAATCAGCAAACTTGCTTTAAAACAAAACAATACGAAAACAATCTCCCCTTTTATCTCACATCATTTTAAAATTACTACCCCCTTTCTCGGCTTCACTTCACAATGTAACTGCTCAGAGCTGTTTACCCACCAGATTATTACATCATTACCTCCCATTCACATTTTTTAAAAGTTCCTTGTTAAATACAGAATATACTCAAAAGAATATTTATATGTGTAAGATATAAAGAATAAATGTACAAATAAACAAATATATACAAAAAAAAAACAAATAAATCCATGTACCTACCACACAGCTAAGAAAAAAAAAAAAAAAAAAAAAAAAAAAAAAACACCCAGCTTAAGAAAGAGATTACTAGAACCTTTGAAAATTTCCCTGATCCCATTCCCTGTGAAAACACAACATATCAAAATTTTAGCATCCCTAAAGCAGTACTTAAAGAGAAATTTATATCACGAAACACCTATATTAGGAATGGAGAAAGTTCTCAAATGAATGACCCCAGCTTCCACCTTAAGAAACTAGAAAAGGGCAGGGTCTGGTGGCTCATTCCTATAATCCCAGCACTTTGGGAGGCCAAGGCAGATAGATCACTTGAGCCCAGAAATTCAATACCAGCCTGGGCAACACAGTGAGACTCCATCTCTATAAAAAACACAACAATTAGCCAGGTGTGGTGGCACACACCTGTAATCCCAGCTACTTAGGAGTCTAAGGTGGGAGGACTGCCTGAGCCTGGGAAGTCAAGGCTGCAGTGAGCCGTGACCATGCCACTGTACTCCAGCCTAGGCGACAGATCGAGACTCTGTTTCAAAAAGAAAAAAAAAAAAACTAGAAAAGGAAGCACAAATGAAACCTAACATAAGTAAAAGAAAGGAAATAATTAGAATGAAAGTGGAAATTAATCAAATGATAAATGTCAGAAATGAGAAAAGTTACATCACTACAGATTCTACAGATATTAAAAAGAGTAATAAATGAATATGATGATCGACTTTATGACAATGAAGTTGAAACTGTAGATCAGAAGTTAGTACTTTCTGCAAAAGGCCAGTTAATATTTTTCAGGCCATACCATTTCTTTTGCAACTATTCAACTCTGCCACTGTAACACAAAAATAGCCATAGATAATACATAGACAAATGAGTATGGCCACATTCCAATAAAACTTTATTTACCAAAATAGGCAGCAAACCAGATTTAGCTCATAGATAGTAGTTGATGATCTTAACTTAGATGAAGTGGACAAATTCTTGAAAGACTACAAACCACTAAAGCTCACTCAAAAAAAACAAAACCCTTTATAGCCCTATGTCTATTAAAAAAAATTGAATGTGTCATTAAAAGCTTTCCCACAAAGAAAACTCCAAGGATCAGATGGCTTTATTGACAGTCTACCAAACATTTAAGAAAGAAATAATACAAATAATACCAATTCTCCACAACAACTTAACATTTTCAGAAATTTGAACAAGAAAAACTTTCCAATTCACTCTATGAGTACAGCATTGTTCTAACACCAAAAAAGATAAAAGCATTACAAGAAAAAATATACACAGACCAATACTCCTTATGAATACAGATGTAAAAATTCTTTAAAAAATGTTAGCCAATTAAATCAAATAATACATTAAAAGGAGAATACACATAGTAGCATTATTCACAATAGTCAAAAGGTAAATGGAACACGTTTCCAATAACAAATAAAATGTGATATATACATACAATAGAATATTATTCAATGGTAAAAAGGAAAGAAATTCTGGCACATGCTACAACATGAATGAACTTTGATGACACTATGCAAAGTGAAATAAGCCAGACAAAGGACAAAAACTGCATGATTCCAATTATATGAGATACATAGAGTAAACTCACAGAGACAGAAAGTAGAATGTTGGTTACCCAGGGCTGGGGAGGTGGGTAGGGAATGAAGAGTTATTGTTTAATGGGTACAGAGTTTCAGTTTTGCAAGGGAAAAAAGTTCTGGAGATGGGTGGTGATAATGGTTACACAACAATGTGAATGCACTTACTAACACTGAACTGTACACTTAAAAATTGTTAAACTGCAAATTTTATGTTATGTATATTTACCACAGTTTAAAAAATAATTTTAAAAAATGTAATTCATTAATTTTTTAAAAAGTAAAATGCATTATAACTAACTATGGTTTATCCCAAGAATGTAAGGTTTGACATTTGAACCAATCAATGTAATTTACTGCATTAAAAAACTAAATGAGGGCTGGGTGCAGTGGCTCACACTTGTAATCCCAGAACTTTGGGAGGCCAAGGCAAGCAGATCACCTGAGGTTAGGAGTTCATGACCAGCCAGGCCAACATGGTGAAACTCCATTTCTACTAAAACATACAAAAATTACCTTGGCATGGTGGTGCGTGCCTGTAATTCCACCTACTCAGGAGGCTGACACAGGAGAATCGCTTGAACCTGGGAAGCAGAGGTTGCAGTGAGCCAGGATTGCGCCATGGCACTCCAGCCTAGGCAACAAAGTGAGACTCCATCTCAAAAAAAAAAAAAAAAAAAAACTGAGAAAAATCATATGATCATCTCAATAGATGCACAAAAAGCATTTGGCATTTATTCTCATTCGTGTGTGTGTGTGTGTGTGTGTGTGTGTGTGTGTTTACAAAAAAAAAAAAAAAAAAAAAGTTTCACTCTTGTCGCCCAGACTGAAGTCCAGTGGCGTGATCTTGGCTCACTACAACCTCTGCCTCCCAGGTTCAAGCAATTCTCCTGCCTCAGCCTCACGAGACACTGAGATTGCAGGTGCCTGCCACCATGCCCAGCTAATGTTTGTATTTTTAGTAGAGACAGAGTTTCACCATGTTGGCCAAGCTGGTCTCAAACTCCTGACCTCAGGTGATCCACCCGCGTCGGCCTCCCATAGTGCTGAAATTACAGGCGTGAGCCACCGCGCCCAGCCTGGCATTTATTCTTGATTAAAAACTGTCAGCAAACTAGGTGCAGAAGGGAGAACTTCCTCAACCTAGTAAAAACCTACAGCTAACATCATACGTAATGGAGAAAGATTGAATGTTTTCCCCCTAAGATGAGGAATGAGGTAAGGATGTCCATTTTCATTATTTCTAGTCAACATTATACTGGAGGTTCTGGCCCATGAAATAAGGGAGAAAATTTTTAAATATCCATATTGGAAAGAAAAAAGTAACTGTATTAGCAGACAACGTAATCACTTATATAAACAATTCAATGAAGCCTATAAGAAAGCTAATTGTGATTTAGCAAGGTTGCAGAATTCAAGATCAATGTACAAAAATAAAATATATTTCTATATATTAGCAAACAACAATCAGAAATTGAAATTTTAAAAATAACATACACAATAGCAACAAAATAAATGAAATACATAGAGATAAATATGGAAAAAAGTGTGTGAGGCTCATATACTAAGAACTATGAAATACTGCTGAGATAAATTCAAGAAGAGTCAAATAAATAGATAAGATGACATTCATGAGTTAGAAGGCTCATTATTAAAATATCAACTATCCCCAAATCGATCTACAGATTTAATAAAATTCCATTCAAGCGGGGTGTAGTGGCTCACACCTGTAATCCCAGCACTTTGGGAGGCCAAGGCAGGAGGATCGCTTGAGCCCAGGAGTTTGAGACCAGTCTGGGCAACAACATAATGAGACGTTGTCTCTACAGAAAATAAAAAATAAAAAAAAAATTAACCAGGCATGGTAGTGCATGCTTGTGGTTCCAGCTACTTGGGAAGCTAAGGTGGGAGAGTCACTTGAACTCAGTAGGTCGAGTCTGCAGTGAGCCATGATCACGCCACTGCACTCCAGCCTGAGTGACAGAGTAAGATCCTTTCGAAAAAAAAAAGTTCTGATCAAAATCCCAGCAGCAGTCTTTTTGGTAGAAACTGACAAGCTGATTCTAAAATTCATATGGAAGTCATATGGAAATGCCAAAGACTTAGAATGACCAAAATGACTTTTAAAAAAATGAGAGTTAACAATACTGATTTCAAGATTTATTATAAAGCTACAGTTGTCAGGACAATATCATATTAACATTAAAATAGACAAATGCATCAGTAGAACAGAAAAAAGAGCACAGAGATAGAACTACACAAATATGAAAAACTGATTTTTTATACATGAGAAAAGGCAATTCAGAGGTGAAAGTCTTTTCAGCAAATAAGACTAAAATAATCTGATACCTTTATATGAAAAAATGAACTTGTATCCATATTTGTACCATATACAAAAATTAACTTAAAATGAATCACAGACCTAAATGTAAAACATAAGACTACAACACTTTTAGAGAAAAATATTTGTGACCCTAGGTTAGGTAAAGATTTTTTAGATACCACACCAAAAGCATAATCCATGAGAGAATAAAAATAATAAATTAGACTTCATCAAAATTAAGAACTCCTCTTTGAAAGGCACTGTTAATAATAAAATAAGCCATAGAGGAGAAAAATTTGCCAAACATATATCTGAAAAGCACTTGTACCCAAAATATACACAAAGAACTCTCAAACTCAACAACAGAAAACTAACACAATTTTTTTTTCTTTCCTTTTTTTTTTTTTTTTTTTCTGGAAACAGGGTCTCGCTCTGTCGCGCAGGCTGGAGTGCAGTGGTGTGATCATAGCTTACATTACTGTAACCTCAAACTCTTGGGGCTCAAGTGATATTCCTGCCTCAGCCTCCTAAGTAGCTGGAACTATAGGTACAGACCACCATGCCTGGCTATTTGTGTGTGTGTGTAGAGTCATGGCCTTGCTATGTTGCCCAGGCTGGTTTCTAACTCCTGGGCTCAAGCAATCCTCCCACCTTGGCCTCTCAAAGTGCTGGAATTATAGGTGGGAGACACTGTGCTTGGCCAACAATCCAATTTTTTAAAAGGGCAAAAGATTTAAACAGAAAATTCACCAAAGATATATGGAGGGCGAATAAACACATTAAAAGATGCTCAACATGGGCTGAATGTGGTGGCTCATGCCTACAAATCCCAGCACTCTGGGAGGCTGAGAGGGGAAACCTGCTTGAGGCCAGGAGTTCAAGACCAGCCTGGGCAACATAGAGGGATCTCATCTCTACAAAAAAAATTCAAAAATTAGCCAGGTGTGGTGGCATGCACCTATCGTCCAGCTGAGGTGGGAGGATCACTTGAGCACAGGAGTTTGAGGCTGCAGTGAGCCATGATTGCGCCACTGTACTCTAGCCTGGGTGACAGAGCAAGACCCTGTCTTGAGGGAAAAAAAAAATATATATATATATATATATAAATATATATATATATATATATATGGTTTGCAGCCAGGTGCAGTGGCTCATGCCAGTAATCCCAGCACTCTGGGAGGCCAAGGCAAGTGGATTCCTTGAGCCCAGGAGTTCAGGACCAACCTTGGCAACATGGTGAAACCTCATCTCTGCCAAAAATACAAAAATTAGCCAGTTCCAAAACCTGGTCTCAAAATAAATAAATAGATTAAAATTTAAAAATAAAATTAAAAAAAAATTAAAGGCCAGGCATGGTGGTTCATACCTGTAATTTCAGCACTTTGGGAGGCCAAGGAAGGCAAACCACTTGAGCCCAGGAGTTCTAGATCAGCCTGGCCAACATGGAGGAAACCCTATCTCTACTAAAAATACAAAAAATTAGCCAGGTGTGGTGGTGCACACCTGTAATCCCAGCTACTTGGGAGGCTGAGGCAGAAGAATTGCTTGAACTTGGGAGGTGGAGGTTGCAGTGGGCTGAGATCACACCACTGCACTAAAGCCTGAGCAACAGAGGGAGACTCTGTCTAAAAATATATGTATACATACATAGGGGGGTGTGTGTGTGTGTATATATACATATATACACACATATATGTGAGGTTCATATCAATCACAAGAAAGAGCTTACCATCTTCAATGGCATTTTTGATAGCACGAAGTCCATCTCTTATGGCATCCTTGATTTGTGTGAGAGTATGCTTATTTGGTCCTCTAACCAACAAGGTAACAGAGTGAGGGTTAACACACTCCTCGATAAAAGTGAACTTTTCTTCACCCTAATGGGTGGCACAAAAATACAGAACTTTAATATTTAATGTCATTATAAAACCAACAATTTATACTAGAATACAATCTTCATTCGAATTTTTCTTATCAAGCATAACTAAAGATATGTTTAAAGGGAGTTAAGTTATATCTGAACTCTTACCAAACATTTAGGTAAATAAACTGTAAAATCTGTTCTGTGAATTAGATCTTAAAACACAAAACATGAAATAAAAGGTCAAGTAGTATCTTTCTTTTAAAAAAGGGGGCTTAGTATTCACTTTACAACCACTATTCACAGAAATACTCACTAACGTATACTCATACACAAGACCAGCATGTCCCAAGCAATCTACAGTGAGATCTTCAAAAGAATTCACAGCCATTCCACCACAAGCAAGAGAGAGTCTGAAATTACACATATGTCACCATAGCTTGATTATGGAAAATATAAATACTAATTTCTTAGAGGAAAAAAGATATTTAATGCAGAAGACTGCATTGTTACTGTATTGTATTGTTTTGGGTTTTTAATTGACAATAAAATTGTCTATATTCATCGAGTTCAACATGATGATGTTTTTAAATATGTATACACTGTGGAATGGCTAAATCAAGCTAATAAACATACTCATTGCCTATGTGAGGCTTGATTTAGCCATTTTTTGTGATAAGAACACTTAAAATCTACTCTGCATTTTTCAAGAATCCAACACATTGTGCATTCTTGGGTGGGTTTGCAAAAGATTTTTAAAAAGAACAATATATTGTTATTAACAATAGTTGCCATGTTGAACAATAGATCTCTTGAATTTATTCTTCCTAACTAACTGAAATTTTGTATCCTTCGACCCACATATCCCCAGTGCCCCTCCCCTCCCACTGCCCCAGCCCCTGGTAACTGCCATTCTACTATCTACTTCTATGAGTTCAACTTTTTTAGATTCCATATATAAAAGTGAGATCATGCTATATTATGTTGTATTGTTTTGTTTTTAAAATCTGTTTTAAAAAGATAAAAACTTTCCTTATACTTCAACAAAGTTCTGCAGTAGGTTAACAACCTTGCTTTTTGACAGTTCAATTATTTACTGAAACTAAAAACAAAATCCAAATTTTGAAACTAAAAACAAAATTTGGATTTTTTTATGCCACTGTTTTGTTCAACAACATTTACACATAAGCTAAAAGGAAAACACATGGGATAGTTTCCATTTACTCTGTTAAAAACTTAGGATATATAATTACCTGCAAGCTTACCTTTCCATATTTCTTCTTTTTGCTCTGCGAAGAGCTACTATTCCATGTTTTGCAAGAGTATCTAAGGAAAATGGATCAATTCCCTATAATCAAATTAACATAAAAATTATAAACAAGTTTTAAACCAGTATTTCTCAAACCTTTTGGTCTCAGCACTACTTTATTCTCTTAAAAATTATTAAGTACCCAAAGAGCTTTTGCTTATGTAAGCTCTATCTATAATATTTATCATATTACAAAAACTGATAAACTTGTAAAATATTTATTAATTCATTTAAATAATAAGCCCATTTCATGTTAATATACATAACATTTTAACTGAAAATTTACTACACTTTTGAAAACAAAAATATATATAGTGAGCTAGCAGTGGCATTACTTTACATTTTTGCAAATCTCTTCAATGTTTTTCATAGAAAACAACTGGATTCTCATATCTGATTCAGTATTCAGTTTGGAATGATATGTTATTTTGGTTTAAGTTTATGAAGAAAATCTGGCCCCACACAGATAAATATTGTAAAGGGAATAATATTTTAATAGCCTTTTCAGATAACTATGGAAATTCTTCTTTGATACTATACCAAAACTCAACAAGTAATAGTTTCTCAAAGGTTAGTTTCACTATGGAACCACAGCAACGAACTTTTCATACTATCTCACATTAAAACACGTTAGTGTAACTTGCACACTGAATGGATTATTCATCCAGGTATGATTTTATAAAAATCATGCATTTTTAGTCGAGTAGATAGATAGCATTAGTTCACTGAGTTAGGCAAAGTTTCCACATGTTGACACATTTCATGTATAACATGTTATGTTATACATGTAGAAACTGTGTCACGTTATACATGTGGAAACTTTGCCTAACTCAGTGAACAAAAACTCACTTTTGTTAATATCACCAATATTATCAGGAAAGTCTTTTAAGTATTGGAAAGCTGTCAAGTTCACATGGCAGATACAAGTTTTCCGAAATTCTAATTTTTGTTTAAAAGTTCAAATGTTATTGGCAACAAATACTGTCAGTTGTTTTAAGTCACAGAATTTCTTCATTCATTTTTGAGAGAAATCTACCAAATAGCCATATCTAGATAACGACAGTTTTTCTGTCAGTCATTCTTCCAGGTAAAAGTGGCATTCCATGAAAAAGTGTTTAGTTTACCTTGCAATTCAAACAATTACACAAGTGCTTTCCTTCAAGACAACCATCACATTTTGGTATGCAACAGAAGAGCTTTGTAGTTCCTAGCCCCATAATCCCAACACTTTAGGAGGCCAAGCCAAGAGGATCACTTGAGACCAGCCTGCACAACATGGCAACACCCAGTCTCTACGAAAAAACTTAAAAATTAGCCAGGCATGGTGATGCACATCTGTAGTCCTGGCTACTTGGGAAACTGAGGCAGAAAGATCACTTGAGCCCAGAAGGTCAAGGCTGTAGTGAGCTGTAAGTGTGCCAGTGCACTCCAGCTGGATGACAGAACAAGACCCTGTCTCAAAAAAAAAAAAGAGTGCTTTGTGCATACTTCATATTTTGTCACACATAATAATAAAAGGATGAATATTTAAGATAAAATTTAATAAAATTAATAAGTTTTACCATTTCATCAAGACATTCTTAAATGATACTGCCTTTTCTTTTTCACTGCAAGTGTGTGGTGGTATGGCAATAAAGAATGCAATGACTACTAATATAGCTTGGTGCTACTGCTTCGATTTGTGCTAAAGGGCCAGCAGTTTTACAGATTGCTTTTGCAGCATCATTGCAAATGTCAACACAATGTAAAAGGTGTGTTTATTATTATGAAAATAGTTTTTGACCTCACAGACTCTCTGAAAAAGTCTTAGGGATTCTTAGGGGTCCACAGACCACACTTCAAGAAATGCTTAAGAACTTTTACAAATAACTAAAATCTAAACTTTCTTTCTCACCTTTTGATTAATGATGACAAATCCTTTATTGGACTGAGCACAGACTTTGTCTTTCAGGTCTATTATTTTTTGTACTCTATCTTCAATAAATTTTCTTTCAGCTTTTACCAATTTCTCTTTCTCTTCTGCAGTCTTATAAAAGAAACCAGAGCTCACCTCTCTAAAAGATTAATAAAAACCAGCTAGTAAAGGCAGGAGAAAAAAGGAAAAAAGGTAGAAATAGTCTACACCAAATATCTGGAAGGAAAGAAAGATTTTAAAACACCTTTAGAAAAAAAATTTCAAAAGTTATAAAGAGAAAGTAACACGTACGTTTTTTCATATTCTAGTGAAACGTTGCAAATAAGGATAAATGCATCTTCTACTCGCTTCTTCATATCTGGATGACGGGCACCATGATCCAAAACTAATCCTTGGATCAACCTATTAAAAATATTAATGTTTCTTACTTTTAATATATACTCTAAAATTTGGTATAAAATTATCATTATAGTATTAAAGTTATACCAATACTTCCAGGACACACATTGTTTCCTTGTACCAATTTTAACAGTTTTTGATGTTTTTGTTTTTTGTTTTCAGAGATGAGGGTCTCGTTATGATGTCCAGGCTTGCCTCAACATCCAATCCTCCTGCCTCAGCCTCCCAAGTAGCTGGGACTAAAGGAGTGTGCCACCTCACCCACCTCCATGCATTGACTTTAAACCTAACATATAATTAGTAAAATTAGGAAAGAGAATCTACTTTAACACAGTGTGACTATAAAGTCACAATAAAATGTCAAGCCAGAATGATTTTCTAAGTTATGTGATTAAAAAATATGACACAGCTTATCAAGTAATGAAAGGTAGGTATACAATGAGTTTCTTAGGAACATTTATTCAAAATGATTATATGGAACAACTAAAAACTGTTAACCTAAATGTCCAACAATAGGGTATTATTCAGCAAATAATGACCCAACTGTTTGATGGTTATAAAAAGTATGTAATAACATGGAAAAATATGTATAGGGCTAGCTGATAAGCATAGAATGACAAATTGCATATGAAGCATGACTATAACTGTTCTTTTTAAAAACAAACAACTTGGCATTAAAAAGAAAAACAATGGGAGGGACCTAAGAGTAGGGGTTATGCATAGGTAGTAGGAATATAGATGATTTGGAAAGGAGGTGTTTCTTCCTGTTTTCCAAATAATCTTTCAAGAGTCAATATTTTTATAACTTTATAAAATTCATTTACAAAACATTTAGGGGACGGAATTTCTACTCATGAATCCTTTATAACGAATTTTTGTTATATATTTTAAAAATATTTTGTAGTAGTTCAACATAATTATAAGGAAGTCTTCAAAATTTTACTTTAACTAGATTACTCCACCTCTTAACAGAATGTAAACATATCTAGGAAGAAACAAAAACACTATGTTCAACATTCCTCACTTTTCAAGCCTTCTTCACTTTCCTCCCTCCCTACTGTCAGGAAATGACATTGTTTCTTTGAGAAAATAGAAACATTGTCCCATTACTACTTCTACCAATCCACTTGCACTTGAACCTGAACCTCCTTCTACTATGAATGAGCTGTCCATGTTCCTCTCTATGGGTAACCTCTCTACTTGTGTACTGGACTCCATTTCCTTCTCTGTTCTTGCACTGGCCCCTAATCCCCCATATCAATTCTTCTCACCTAAAGGACCATTCTTACCAGCATACAAACTTGCAGTAACAATTCCTGTCATTAATACAAAAAATCCTTCTCCCTCAGCCCCATTCCCATATTCCCTTCTAGCTACTGCCCCATTTCTCTGTTCTCCTTTGTAGCTATACTTCTCTCAGTAACCATTCTCTCTTGAGCCCACCTTCAGTCTGACTTTTATTTCCACCTCTTTATTCAATCAGTTCTCATTAAAGCCACTAAAAAAGTAAATGTTTTCCAAATATAACAATCAACTCTCAACTCTCAGTAACAGCAATGTACTCAAACTTTCAGTAGCATATGACACAGCTGATTATTGTCTCCTTGCAATACTTTCTTCTTTTGACTTCTGGGGCACCACTCTCCCTTGGCTTTAATGCCTCATTGACTGCCCCCTTCTCAATCCCTTTTGCTGAATCCACCTCATATTCTCAAACTCTAAACATCCAACTTCCCAGGGATCATGCTTTAAACTTCCTTTACTATATTCACTTCCCAGATGGTCTCATTAACTCATGGCTTTAAGTCATTTATACACTAATGATTCTCAAATACATACTTCTAGGGCAGACCTCTATTCTGAACTCCAGACATCTCTCCAAATTCCTACTCAACATCTCCACATGGATGCCTAACAGGCATCTCAAACATAACATTCTCAAACTGAACTCTGGATTTATCTCCCCAAATCTGCTCCTCCTAGTCTTCTCCATCCCAAGAAACAGCACCTCCACTTTTCCTGCTGATCATGAAAAGGCCTAAGAGATATCCCTGACTGCTCTGTTTCTGTCATGTCCTATGTTGAACCCTCAACAAATCCTATTGCCCTTTCCTTCTAAGTACACCCTAATCCAAACCATTTTCATTTCTCACTTGTACTATACCAACATTCCTAATTGGTCTCTGGTTTCTGCCCTTGGCCCTCTTTTACCTCCCAATCAGCCATTTTGTATGTATTCCCCACACAAAATCCACAGATAACCTTCTGAAATATAAATCAAGAACTTGTTATCCTTAGCAATAGTAGGCTAACTGAGATCAATCCTACTATCAAAAACAACTAAACATGCTGGCTTAAAAGCAAAAAAACCTTAGCAACATTGAAGAGCTATGAGATAGTATATAATTACTAGGCCAAAACTGAAATAAAACAGAAACTCCAAAAGGTAAGCAGAGAACTGCAGGAACAGTAGGTTCTTTTATCTTAAAGTCATTTGACAATCCAGGCAAATCTGAAGTTTGGTTTCAATGTCTTCACAATGAGAAGAAAACAGAAAGCCCAGAGCTCATCCAAGGTGGAATGTCTTACAGGAGACCCTCTTCACATTAAGTTGGAACCACAAAGGCTACATACTCATGATTATCCAGAAGGAAGCCAGAAATAATCAGCCCTCACATGGACTTACGGTTGGAATTCAAGTCAAATGGATATTCCCAAAAACCTCAAACTGTGAATTTAATTTAAAGTAGTCCCTAGCTCCTTGAGGCAGCAAATGCAAATCCTCTCTGCAGAAAGGCAGCTTCATTCTAGGTCTCAAATTATTTCTACCAATACCTTTTTCAAGCACAATGAATGGCACATATGAAAACAAAGCATGATGAGTGAGAACCAGTAAAATACAATAAACACCAGAAAGGGACAAGTCAAAACTTTAGATATTATAATTATCAAACATTAACTATATGTTTAAAGAAAGAAAAAAGGGCAAGTTTGGAAAGATTTGCAAGGAATAGAACACCATAAAAGTAACATGGCAGATTTAAGAAACAAATAGAACTTCTATAAATAGTAAATAAGGATATCCACACATATACACACAGATATAAAAAATTCAAGAAAACAACAGACATATATCCATATGTCTAATAAAAGAATATTGCAATTTTTATAGCAGCACTATTAATAATGGGCAAAAATTGCAAAGTACCTAAATGCCAATCAATAGCAGAATGAATAAACTGTGGTATATTAACACAAAAAAATACTAAATAGCAAAGAGAATGACCAATCTACTAATCACACAGAAATACAAATGAGTCTCACAAACAATGCTAAATGAAAAAGGTCAGAAACAAAGAATACCTACCTTATGATTCCTTATACAAGTACGAAACATATAACAATCTATGTGGTAGAAATTCAGATTACTCTAGAAGAAATATGGCTGAAAGGGAGCAAAAGAGGGGCTTTTAAGGTACTAGTAGTTCTGTTTCTTGTAAGAGTGCTGATTACACAGATATATTCAGAAAATTAATCAAGCCATGTTGTTATGATACTTGCATTTTTAGTGTGTATTACACTTCATTAGAAAGTTTATTTTTAAATCAAGGGATTTTAAAGTAGAAAAAATCAAGGGTTTTAAAGTAGAGTAGACATCGTTTAAGAGAAAATTGGGAAACAACAAAATATATCACTAGAAATTATCCAGAATGCAACACAAAAGACAACAAGACAAAAAGTACATAAAAAACTAAATTAAGAACATCAAGCATACATTTAGTTGGAGAAGGAGAAGGGATGAACAAAACAAATGCTTAAACAGATAATAGATGGAAATTTTCCAGAATCAGATAAAAACAATAACACTCAAAAACCCAGAAAATGTCAACCAGAATAAACAAAAACAAATCCATACCTAGCTACATCATAGTAAAGGTATACAATACCAAAGACAAATATCTTAAAATCACCTAGGTAAATAAAGGACTCATGGCTAATATCTGTACAGCAATAATGAAAGCTAGAAAACAATAGAACAATATCTTCAATCAGCTGAAAGAAACTAACTGCCAACCTAGTAAACACACAATGAAAGTATCAAAGAATAAAGCTAAAGGCATTTTCAGGCAAAGAAAAACTGAAAGTATACCTCCAACAAACTATCACTAAGGAAAATCTATAGGATGAACTTTAGGCAGAAGAAAAGCAATCCCAAATGGAAGGCTGAGATGCAAAAAGCTACACAGATGGTTGGGCATGGTGGCTCACACCTGTAATCCCAGCACTTTGGGAGGCCGAGGCAGGTGGATTGCTTGAAGTCAGGAGTTCAAGACCAGCCTGGCCAACATGGTGAAACCCCATCTCTACTAAAATACAAAAAATTAGCTAGGCGTGGTGGTGCATGTCTGTTGTCCCAGCCACTTGGGAGGCTGAGGGAATCACTTGAACCTGGGAGGCAGAAGTTGCAGTGAGCCAAGATCAAGCCACTGCACTCCAGCCTGGTGACAGAGTGACACTCTGTCTCAAAAAAGAAAAAAATAAATAAATAAGTAAGGATAAGTAGAAAGTATAAAACAAGATGGCAAACTTTTTAATTTGCTTTTTTAAAAATTTTAATAGCTTTTTGGGGAACACGTGGTGTTTGGTTACATAAAATAAGTTCTTTAGTGGTGATTTCTGAGATTTTGGTGCACCCATCACCCGAGCAGTGTACACTGTACCCAAAGTCAAGTCTTTTATCCCTCATCATCCTCCCACCCTTTCCCCCGGGTCCCCAAAGTCCACTGTTAAGATGGTAAATTTTAAATCAAATATATCCATAACTGTATTAAACATAAAGGATTAAATGCTCCTGTTAATAAAGATTATCAGATTTAATATTTTAATCTACCTATATGACACAAAAATCATGTAAAGAGAGAAACAGTGAAAGTAAAAACACACAAAGATATGACAGGCAAATACTAATTAAAAGAAAACTGGGCTGGGCACAGTGGCTCATGCCTATAATCCCAGCACTTTGGGAGGCCGAGGAGGGTGGATCACTTGAGGTCAAGAGTTTGAGACCAGCCTGACCAACATGGTGAAACCCCATCTCTGATAAAAATACAAAATTAGCTGAGTGTGGTGGCACATGCCTGTAATACCAGTTACTTGGGAGGCTAAGGCAGGAGAATCACTTGAACCCAGAGGAGGCAGAGATTGCAGTGAGCCAAGATCGCACCACTGCACTCCAGCCTGGGTAACAAGAGCAAAACTTCAACTCAAAAAAAAAAAAAAAAAAACCCAGATGGACCTGGCATGGTGGCTCATGCTGTAATCACAGCACTATGGGAGGCCGAGGCAGGTGGTGGATCCCTTGAGTTCAGGAGTTTGAGACCAGCCTGGGCAACATGGCATAATCCTGTCTTGACACAAAATACAAAAATTAGCCAGACATGGTGGCATATATCTGTGGTCCCAGCTACTCAAGAGGCTAAGATGGGAGGATCACTGGAGCCCAGGTGGTCAAGGCTGCAGTGAGCCATAATTGTGCCACTGCCCTCCAGCCTGGGTGACAGAGTAAGACCCTGTATCAGAAAAAAAAAAAGGAAAGGGAAGGAAAGGCCAAAGGCAAAAGGCAAAAGGCAAAAAGGCAAAAGGCAAGGCAAAGCAAAGCAAAGCCAGGCACGGTGGCTCACGCCCACAATCCCAGCACTTTGGGAGGCAGAGGTGGGTGGATCACCTGAGGTCGGGAGTTCAAGACCAGCTGGACCAACATGGAGAAACCCCGTCTCCACTAAAAAAAAAAAAAAAAAAAATACAAAATTAGCTGGGCATGGTGGCACATGCCTATAATCCCAGCTACTTGGGAGGCTGGGGCAGAAGAATCGCTTGAACCCAGGAGGCAGAGGTTGCGGTGAGCCAAGATCACACCGTTGTACTCCAGCCTAGGCAACAAGAGCGAAACATTATCTCAAAAAAAAAGAAAGGAAAGAAAGGAAAGGGAGGGAGGGAGGGAGGAAGAGAGGGAGGGAGGGAGGAAGAAAGGAAAGAGAGAGAGAAAGGAAGGAAGGAAGGAGGGAAGGAAGGAAGGAGGGAAGGAAGGAAGGAGGGAAGGAAGGAGGGAAGGAAGGCAGGCAGGCAGGCAGGCAAGCTGGTACAACAGCTTTTAACATGTAAAGATTTTTTAAATATAATTATCAATATCAGATACATTATACTTTTAAAGATATTACTAGAAAAAAGTTGCTTCGTATCAGTACAAAAGTTCAATGCCCCAGGAAATATGTAATAGTTTAAAAACTATGCATCTAAAAAGATTGTCTCAAGATATATAAAGCAAAACTCTCAAAACTAATTTTTATTCAGTTTTATTCAGTTTACTCAAAACTAAAGTAAAATATAAACAGGTGCACAATAATATTGAAAGATATTAATACATTTCACTCGGTAATTGACAGAATAAGCAGTCAAAACATCAATAAGGATATAGAAGTTCTGAACAACAGGATTAACAGGATACCTTGATCTTAATGGACATGTATATAAAATTGTACCTACCAACTGCAGCATACATTCCTTTCAAGTACACGAAACATTAACATAACAAAAGCTGACTATACACTGAGCCATAAAGCAAGTGTCAACAAATTTCAAAGAAGCAAAAATCTCACAGAGCATATTCTCTGACCATAACGTAATTAAGCTAGGTATCAGTAATAACTAAAATTTCCCCATGTTAAGAAGCACACTTCTAGTTGAAATTAGAAAATATTTTAAACTGAATAAAAATTATGATTACATATCAAAACTTGAAGGATGCAGCTGAATAATACTTTGAGAAAAATGTAAGGTTTTAAGTACTGTATTCAAAAGCAGGAGACTGAAAATTAATAACCTAAGTAGCTATCACAATAAAACAGAAGCAGCAAAAAAGTCCCCACAAAATTCCAAAAAAGCAAATTAATAATAAAGAGAAAGACACTGTGAAACAAAAACAAACCTCTGGGAAAAAATTATCAAAAAAAGGAAAGGAAGGCATAAATAACACCAGAAATAAATGGTGATACCACTATAGATCCTGCAAACAGGATCCTTATAAAAATTGTATGCCTATAAGGATATTTATGAACATTTTATACCAAAAATTTCAGAGTTAAACAAAATGGACACATTTCTTAGAAAACGTTACTTACCAAAATGATTCAAAAAATAAGTAGAAAACCTAACTAGTCCTATAGCCATTAAGAAAATTGCATGAGTGGGGCCATGAGCGGTGGCTCACACCTGTAATCCTAGCACTTTGGACCGCAGAGGCAGGTGGATCACGAGGTCAGGAGTTCGAGACCAGCCGGACCAACATGGTGAAACCTGTCTCTACTAAAATATAAAAACATAGCCGGGTGTGGTGCCACGTACCTGTAGTCCCAGCTACTCAGGAGGCTGAGGCAGGGAAATCACTTGAACCCAATAGGTGGAGGCTGCAGTGAGCTGAGATCACGCCATTGCACTCCAGCCTGGGGGACAGAGTGAGACTCCATCTCAAAAAAAAAAAATAAGAGAAGAAAAAAAGAAAATTGCATGAGTAATCAAAAATCTTTCCTTTTCCAAAATAATTATCAAGGTGAAAAACAATGAGAGAAAGAACGAACCTACAAATTAACAGAGACTTAAAAAGAGGTATCACCTAAGTGCAGTATACAGACTGTGTGTAGATCTTAATCCAAACAAAACTGAAAAAAATCTGAGACAACTCTTAGACAAATTAGACTATAAACTGGAAATGTGGTGGTATTAATGAGTTATTAATTTTTAACGTGTTATCATGTTTTGTGGATGTATTAGGTAAAAGCAGGGGGTTTATGTTTTATGAATTACATGATATTTAGAGGTGGTATATGATGTCTGAATTTGCTTCAAAATAATCCAGGGTGGCAGGGGGAAAGAGGGAGGGGTATGGTTGAAATAAGATTGCTTCATATATTGGAAATTGATAAAGATAGCTAACAGGTATGTAGAAGTTCCCTATTCTGTTCTCTCTATATATGTTCACAATTTTCTATAATACGAAGTTTTAAAACAGTAAATCCAAAATCAACAAGGTACTCCATAATCTGGCCCCTTTTGCCTCACCTCCTCTCCCTGTGCTCCAGGCACACTGTAACAACCCAGTCACACTTCTGCCTCAGGACCTCTTCAGAGGTCATTCCTTCTGCTTAGAACCCTCCTGCTCCAGATGTGCACATGGCTAGCTGCCTTGTTTCTTCAGAGACCTCTTAGCTCTTTAGGTTCTTATCAGAGTGGCCTTCCCTGTCCACTATAAAATAACACACATGATTTTTTTTTTCTATTTAAATTAGAAACATAAGCTTCTTTGGGAAAGAAATTCTGTTCTGTTTACTCTTCATTCCCATCACCCAGAGCAGTGACTTAATATATGTTGAATGAATATATTTATGTTGAATAAAAGTAAGTAATAAATTTAACAAAAGAATATCTTTAAAAAATTCTAGAACCCATATGTTGTCAAAGCTTATGTAATTTACTTTGTATCTGTTCCTAATTTATGCTTCATCTCCATGATTTCTACCATGAAGAGATCAATAGGGTAACCTGGTCTTCTAACAGCCAAAACAGAATCCACCACAGCCTGAAAGAGAAGTGAATGAGAACAGTAAGTTATTTGGACTACTAAAATAAACCAATGGCCCAAACAATCTATCACCAGACTAAGGAGATAAAAGCCTTCAGGATTCAAAACATAGGGCAAGACCAGTATGTGCCACTTTATTATGGACACTAATAATAATCAATGCCAACAGACACTTTAGAGTCTAAAGAAACTTCAGAGATCTTTAGGTCAAAACCTTTTATTTTATACACAAGGCAACTGAGATAAGACCTTAAGAAGTTACAGTTTGTAAATAAGATCTAACAGCTAGTAACAGGGCCAGGACTAGAATTCAGGGCTCCTTAACTGCCAAGTGACTACTCTTTCTATCATACCAAGACTATCCAAACTTTTCCACCAAAGGGCACCTTAATGGAAAAGAAGGAAATATAATCTAAAGTAATAGTTCCAATTTGCTGGCTATAATAACAGGAAATTTTAAAGTATCATGTTTGATCATGAAGTTTCCATGTCATCCCATAATATGTTTATCTCAATGTAAAAATAATGTTTTCCCCAAAAATTGTAAAGTAAAATTGACACTTCAAAAAGATACATCTCATTTATTCTGACACACATGACCAGGGATATACAATTTAAGAAGCATAGCACAACACACCTTATTGCTTAGCTCAGAAAATGATATAAAAATAATAAATAACTGCAGAAATTAAGAGGTCAAGTTATAACTACCCTAAAATATACATAAAGCAGAAAAAAATGGTATATTAGAACACTTTGCCTAATATTTTAGGCAAATTTAGGTAACATAATATTTTATTTTAGAGGCAAATAACAAATAAGACAAAGGCCATTGGATAGTGAGAATATCGGTGTTTCTGTAACTCTAAAACAGAATGGGTGCCCTAGCAGCATGAAGATTTTGGGCCATTTAAGTACTCTAACAGCAAAAAACACAGCAGAGCCTTTCTTCTGACTCTGCTCATCAAGAAATTGTCTGATCTTAATCTGATTTCCCAAGTTGGTTTTTTTAATGGTAAGGAGAATCGACCAGAAACAACTCAGGTATTCCAGTACATTTGGCATTTGTAGTTCTCAAAGTAAATTATTAAGATAATATTCTGCTTTGTATGTCAATGTCTTATGAATTTGTTTCCTAAGAATTTATCATTCCTGGTAAACAAATACATTCAAGTTTCAGAAACTACAAAGCTGAGAAACAATAAGGATATCAAATCATTGCCACCTGATAAAAGCCTTCCCAAAATATACAGCCAATCTTATCTTTATATAAAATACATTTTTTTTTTGGTATTCTTTTTTTTTTTTGAGACAAAGTTTCACTCTGTCACCCAGGCTAGAGTGCAGTGGCATAATCTCGGCTCACTGCAAACTCCCCCTCCCTCCCGGAGTGAGTCTCCTGCTTTAGCCTCCCAAGTAGCTGGGATTACAGATGCCTGCTACCATGCCCAGCTAATTTATGTATTTTGAGTAGAGACAGGATTTTACCATGCTGGCCAGGTTGGTCTCAAACTCCTGACCTCAGGTGGTCTCCCCACCTTGGCCTCCTAAATTGCTGGGATTACAAGCGTGAGCCACCATGCCCGGCCTATATGGTATATATTCTATCTTTAGAAATAAACAAAACACTGGCCAGATGTGGTGGCCCATGCCTGTAATCCCAGCACTTTGGAAGCCCCAGGTGGGTGGATCATTTGAGGTCAGGAGTTCAAGACAAGCTTTGGTAACATAGTGAGACCCCCATCTCTACTAAAAATACAGAAATTAGCTGGGTGTGGTGGTACGTGCCTGTAATCCCAGCTACTTGGGAGCCTGAGGTAGGACAATCACTTGAACCTGGGAGACGGGGGTTGCAATGAGCCAAGATCATGCCACCGCACTCCGGCCTGGGTGACAGAGTAAGACTCTGTCTCAAAAAAATTAGTAAGTAAAAGAAATAAACTACACAAATATACATTTCCAAGATGTGAATATTAATATATTAATATATCACATCACTCACATTCCATTATATTGGTAACCTTATCTACAAGGTACACTGCTAAAAATACTATCTCATGCGTCACCTCACATAATAAAATATGGACCTCTAGGTTTAAAAAGACCAGTATACTATTCAAGAGCTTCCACAGGAGATCATCTGCAGGCAGCGAAACCTCTCCCAACTATCAAGTCACATTAAAAAAAAAAAAAAAAGACCTAGTATGAGGCCGGGCGCGGTGGCTCACACCTGTAATCCCAGCACTTTGGGAGGCCAAGGTGGGCAGATCACTTGAGGTCAGGAGTTGGAGACCAGCCTGACCAACATGGTGAAACCCGCTCTCTACTAAAAATACAAACATTAGTTGGGCATGGTGGCACATGCCTGTAATCCCAGCTACAGGCATTAGCTGGGAGGCTGAGGCAGGAGAATCGCTGGAACCTGGGAGGTGGAGATTGCAGTAAGCCAAGATCATGCCACTGCACTCCAGCCTCGGCAACAGAGTGAGACTCTGTCACACACACACAAAAAAAAGGCCTAGTATGATACTTCTGAAAATTACAAATACTGTTCTCACCAGTCAAATCTAATCTACAGTTAGGCCTATACAGTAACTGTCTGTCTTCCGTATTTTATGTCCAAAAAACCACATGCAATCCTTGATTATCTTACAGAAAAAATAAAAATATCACCATGCGCTAGGCTATATTTATTCTGAATGCAAAAGTTTAATAACATACCTCTGTTAACACATCAGCCAGTTCAGCATGAACTTTAGTTCGTAATGATGTTCTAGCTACATCTAAGAGGACTTTTCTTTTCATCTCCTTTGTCACTTTAACTTCCTCCAAAACTTCAAGTGCTTTTATCTTTGCAGCTTCAAATCCTTCAGTTATTATTCTAGGGTGCAGGCCCTGTTACATCAACGTAAAATTATAAATTATAAAATAAGTCATCCAATGTAAAAGTAACCAACCTGTCTGATTAATATATTATGCCCAAAAATAGTTACTCACATTATTGCCATGATATATAAGTGTACATAATCCATAAGTCATTTTAGTGCTTCATACTTGAAATAATCTCAAACTTACAGTAAAGCTTCAAGTCTAGTACAAAAAATTACAAAAGTCCTTTTTATTTCCAAAAATTTTGACTACATTGTTGGCATGTGGTGCCCTTCTGAATGGGCACACACAAAAATATTCTTTTCAATGCAGAGGAAAAGAACCACCACTGAATTGGGGAAAAGTGGCAGACAGAACACTGTGGTGTCTACCACTTCACCAAGAGATCAAAGTTAACATCACAGTAATGAGAGAGACAGGCATTACATGCCTGCTGATATGATGCATTCAGCAGAACACAACACTTCTGTGGTATTCCTGCCAACAATCTATAACCTAAGTTTAATTGAGGAAATAGGCAAATCCACATTGAGGGACTTTCTACAAAATAACTGGCTGGTACTCCTTAAAAGTAGCAATATCATGAAGCATAAAAGGCACCTCAGGAACTAGTCTAGCTTAAAGGATACTAAAGGAACACAACAACTGAATGCAATGCATGAACTTAGATCTTTTTTTTCTATAAAGAACACTATTAATACAAATGGTGAAATTTGAATAGAATGCAGATTAGATAATACTAATGTATCAATGTGTTACTGTTATTAATTTCCTGGTTTTTATAACTATACTGCAATTATATAATTCCCTGGTTTTAAGAAACATACACTAAAATATTTAGATCACGTCTGCAACATAGAGTTTAAAAAGAATATGTACACTGATACTAAGGAAGAGAACAGGGCAGGCAGAGAATGAGAGAAAAGAAAATAAGAATCTGTGTAAAAAGTACACAGGAATTCTTTGTAGTGTGCTTGCAACTTTTCTATAGGTCTAAAATTATGACAAAATATTTTTAATAGTATTTTTTGTTCCATAAAATAATACACAAACTTGTAAAAGCTAGCACTTGGTCTAATTCATTCCCTTACTTCTTTTCTTTACATCAATCCTATAATAATCTTTAAAAGTTGACATTGAGTATTTGTGCTGGACATGACTAAGACTTTTACACGAGTTATTTAATTCTCTAGCCACACTATGAAGTGGGTATTATTATTTTTCCTGTTTCACAGATAAGAAGACCGAGGCTTAAAGGGATAATGTAATTTGCCTTAGATGACCAAGATAATAAGAAGTGAAACCAGGTTGTTTAAACCCATGAGACGTGACTCTAGAGGCTATGTTATTAACCATTTTCATAAACGTCTTCAAGCTAGGACCCCACAATCTTTCATCCAGATTACTATGAAAACCTCTGGTCTAGACTCCCTTAAAACCATCCCCCAAATATTTAAAATGCCAATCTGACCGTATCAGTCATTAGTATGTTTCTATGTTTGGTATGTAATACCACTGGATGAAGTCTAAGCTTGTTGGTTAGCATACTATATGCCCTCTGTGATCTGGCTCCCACTTCCCTCTCCAGCCTCTTCTCCACTACTGTTCACATCCCTTGAAATTCCAGCAACATCAAAATGCCTGTAGCTTCATACAACACCATGTTGTTTGTCTTCTCTGTGACTTTGCTTATGTTGTTCCTTCTGCCTGCAAAGCCATTCTCCTCAACCCTCGCTTTTTTGTCTGGTTCACTTCTCCTCATCCTGAAGATTTAGGCCAGGTCTTACTTCCTCCAGAGAGTTCTTCCTGACTGCTTCAGGCTGGTTTAGGATGTCCCTCCAGCCTCAGTGATTCTATCACATACTGTGCCCAGCTCTATCACTGTACGGTCACAGAGTTTCATAATGTCTGTTAGCATCTCACCCTTGCCAAACTCCTTTCTTCCTAACCCAACCCTAATTTGGTTTGGGTTTCCCTCTCCCACTTGTGCTTTGGAGAAAGCTGATCTTATCCCCAGCTCAAGGAGTAGATCCTGATTAGTCTAAGTCAATTCCCATAAAAACTGTTACTGGCTTGGGATGGACATAATACTAAAGTTGGCCCAATCATACCAAAGAAAAGCCTCCTGAATGGCTTTATCTTGCCCTCTGCCTACTTTCCTCTGACAGTCTTTCTTCTCTCTCCTCTGTCCTGTCCTCTCTCTTCTCTCTCTCTCTCTTTTAGAGACTGAGTCTCACTCTGTCACCCAGGCTGGAGTACACTGGTACGATCATGGCTTACTGCGGCCTGCACCTCCTGGGTTCAGGCAGTCCTCTTGCCTCAGCTCCCCAAGTAGCTAGGACCACATGCGGAATGCCATCAAGCCTAATTTTTTTTTATTATTTCTAAAGACGGGGTCTCACTATGTTGCCCAGACTGGTCTCAAATTCCTGGGCTCAAGTGATCCTCCTGTCTCAGCCTCCCAAAGTGCTGGGATTACAAGCATGAGCCATTGTGCCCAGCCAGTCTTACCTTTTTTTTTTTTTTTTTTTGAGATGGAGTTTCACTCTTATTGCCCAGGTTAGAGTGCAATGGCACAATCTCGGCTTACTGCAACCTCCGCCTGCTGGGTTCAAGCAATTTTCCTGCCTCAGCCTCCTGAGTAGCTGGGATTACAGGCATGCGCCACGACACCCGGCTAATTTTGTATTTTTAGTAGAGATGAGGTTTCTCCATGTTGGTCAGGCTGGTCTCAAACTCCTGACCTCAGGTGATCCACCCACCTCAGCCTCCCAAAGTGCTGGGATTACAGGCTTGAGCCACCGCGCCCGGCCTCTTACTTTCCAGATGGAAATACTCTTAGGATGAAACAACACTGTGAGTGGAAGAGCTAAGAGACAAAGAATCTGTGTACTTGAAGACTGAATTTTATGACCAGACAGTCTGCCTCATCTCTCCATTTTCTATTATGGGAGATAATCATTTCCTTATTGTTCAAGTGAGTTTCAGTCAAGTTGTTTACAGCCAAAAGCATCCTAAGTTGCAAGTACTGAATTAATAGAAAATTCCCAATACTAAACGAAACACAGAGAATCATTTCTGACAAGGTTATGCTTTGCTGAAATGGTCCCTGAAAGACAGAAAAAGTTCAGATACGGAGAAAAGAGATACTTAATTAGAGAAAGGTAGAAACGTACATGATATTTTCAGAGGCCAGTGAATGGTGGACTCTGGCTGAAGTAGATTATTTATAAAGAAAAATGAAACTAGAAAGGAAGGTAAATTCACAATAAAGAAAACCTTCAATAATTTTTCTCCAGTTGTTTTACAAGGGTGCATAATTTGGTTTCAACTTTATCTATGGTGTTTTACTTTCTTAATTACCCATGGATACATGGGTAATTTTTTACTTTTTTTATGTCTCTTAAATATTTCATTTTTAAAAGAGATATATAATTCCAATAAAAGGCAGTATTTTGGCCAACAAAGTTCATTATTATTTCCATTTATAATTGTCCAAGAATATCTTAATTAAAATTAACTGTCTAGGCCAGGCGTGATGGCTTATGTCTGTAATCCCAGCACTCTGGGAAGCCAAGGCTGGTGGATCACCTGAGGTCAGGAGCTCGAGACCAGGCTGGCCATGATAGTGAAACCCTGTCTCTAATAAAAAAACAAAAATTAGCCGGGCATGGTGGCTTGTAATGTCAGCTACTCGGGAAGCTGAAGCACGAGAATCGATTGAATCTGGGAGGCGCAGGTTGCAATGAGTCGAGATCCTGTCACCGCACTCTAGCCTGGGTGACACAGTGAGACTCCGTCTCAAAATAAATAGTTAATTAATTAAATAAAACAAAAATAACATCTAAAATGCAATCATTTTACTAGTTAAAAAAATAACTTGCCATTCAAAATAACATATAAACTCTGTGAAATTCTAATACCTCAGAAATGTACAGATCAGCTTGTTTTAATAACTCTCCAATAATTAGAACATTTGAAGTAGTACCATCTCCTGTGACGTCATCCTGAGCTGTTGCTACTTTTGCTATCAAGGAAGCTGTTGGATGTTGAATTTGCTGGAAAAAGCAAGCAACAGATTTAAAAAGAGAGGATGAGATAAGAAAGTAGGTCACCAAAAACAAGATAACCTAGGGGTCAGCAGTAAAATTAAAAAATGAAATAAGCTTCATTCTACAAGTTTACAAGTTTTGTAATATCAATACCTAAATGTCAAGTCCAAAATTTTAAAAGTGACAGGTAATGAGGTCTGAAGATTTCATAAGTCTTTGCTTCAGAATGCAATGACATTTCTAAAATAAGATTAAATCCTTCAATCTCAAAATGAATACATTTATTAAACTTGCAAAGGATATTTTTATTTTTCCATAATTACAAAGAACATAAGGCAGTACCCCAAAAGATATTATTAATTTATAAGTATGTCTAAGTATACAACATATGTATAAGTATACAAAGACTTGGAAAGAGCCAGAAAAAAAAACTCTTTTTTTTTTTTTTTTTGAGACAGTGTTTCACTCTGTCACCCAGGCTGGAGTGCAGTGGCACGATCTCAAGTTCACTGCAGCCTTGGCCTCCTGGGCTCAAGTGATCCTCTTACCTCAGCCTCCTGAGTAGCTGGGACTACAGGCACATGCTACAACACTGAGCAAATTTCTTTTTTTTTTTTTTTTGTAGAGACGGGTTTCACCAAGCCTGGTCTTGAACTCCTGGGCTCAAGCAATTTGGCCACCTCAGCCTCCCAAAGTGTTGGGATTACAGGAGTGAGTTACCACACCCGGCCAAAAAAAATTTTTTTATTGAAGTCTAATTCAACAAGCATATCTCAAGACTCAAGACTGCAGTATTTAGCTGACAGCCTTGGCTTACAGATACACAAGTTCTACTATGCTCCTAATTAAGGCTTATTAAGGTTTATTAAAGTCAGCAGCATCAGCTCACCATCTCTTGGAGCAGCACATTGCCATCTTTGGTGAGTTTGATGTCACCTGCACCAGAAACAAGCCTGTTCAGAGAACAACGATATTAACTTCATGTGGTAGGAAGACACTCCCAGTGCTTGCCATCCCATTATCCTCAACAGAGGGAACTGGGCTTGGAAAACTACTGTACCATGGGAATATGCCATGGTAATTACCACCATTTGCAGCTCACAGAATCATTTCTCCCCAGATGGACAGCTTATGGCGATTTCATTCCAAATGGACCATTTACAGATTTAAAGATAAAAGCAGTTGATGAGTTATGAAAAGTGGTTTGGTCAAAGAATACTTGAAAGTCTACAAAGCACAAATTTGCAAATTTCCTGCAGGTTTTTATTTTGGTGAACGTTTTCATTCAGTCAGTCACTCTAGTTTCCCTCATCCCTGCATTTATTAGATCACCAAGTTCTATCAATTCTACTACCTAAATATCTCTTGAATCTGCCCCCTTCTCTCCATCTCCACTGTTATCATCTCTACCTTGGATAGCATCCAGTTATCTCCAAACTAAAATACACCCTCCACACATTTTTCTTTATAAAAGGCAACGTGATTCAGTCAGTTCCCTGATCAAAAGTCCTCCAATGATTTTTATGTTTTTCATCATTTTCAAGTTAAAATCCAAACACAGCAGACACTTGACCTTTCTCAATCTGGTTTATGTCTCTCTTCCCTGACTCATCTACTTTCCCACAAGCAAATCTTCTGGTTCCCTTAATACACCATGTTTTGTTTTTTCTATTGGATTTGCACCATTGGTCTTTCTTATTCCTGAAATTACTCTGCCCAGAAGGCCTTTACTCCCTCTTCCAACCCAAGACTCTGATCAAACATCATTTAAGATGCTTGTCCTTCTGCCATCAGTAATTATTCCCTTTCCTCAGCATAATCATATGCATCTATATATAATTAGCACATCCTACTCTACCACATCCGTCTCTACCACATCTCCTTAAGAACAGAAACTGTATCTTGATCATTTCTGTGTCCCAGCAACTAGTACCTAAGTGACTTATTTTACCATTAATATTAATTTATTTTGTTCATTACTATGAGGATGTGTCTCTCCTCTTATACCCTTTTTTCCTCACTGGTCTCTTTTCCTCACTCTTGTCTAGAGAAAACGGTGCTTAATATATACTGAAAAGATGAATAGATATGAAGAACCACAGACACAGGGTATTAAGTAGAAATTGGATTTGACCTCATGCCCTCCTGGCTCCAAAGCCTGTGCCCTCTCCACTACAATACATTGCCACACAAAATACAAAACTAACTACTTGTTGAATTTATGGACTAAAGGTATACAGTCTTAAAGAGCAGAGAAGTTAAATGCTTTATGTTTCCAATAAGACACTAAATTAACTGACTTTCTAACTGCATATGAACCTTGACGAAAAGTAGGGTGTCGGGGGAGCGTCACAATTTCACTCCTGGGGCCTTCTAGGGGAGGCTTTTCTCCTCCACCTGCACCAGGCGAGAAATACCCTCAGGACAGGGATGAGAATGAGGGAAATCAAGCTCGCAAGAACATCCACAGCGCTCCACGGACGCCTGCCTCAGAGGGCTCCAGGACACCCAACAAGCCCCCGGCCGCCTAACGGCCGCTCCAACCGCCGTCTCACATTTTCATGGTGCCTTTAGGACCCAAGTTGGTCCGCAGCACATCCTGCAACCCTCGGGCGGCGCATATATTGACAGACAAAGCTGCCTGGGCCCGCGCCACCTCAGCCTTGGAGTTTACGGCCTTTATCGCAGCCATAGCCTAATCGTTCACAGGAAAAAAAAAAAAAAGCCTTAGTCGCGATTCTGAGCAAAAACGCCAACGCTACGCCACGCTCTCTTGAACCTCGGCCAATCATCGCCCTTACAGGAAGTGACATTATCATGCCTCGCCGGACGGAAACCAGAATCGCTTTGGGTCTGGTCGCCAAGATGGCGTCCTCCGCCTCCGCCAGGACTCCGGCCGGGAAGCGAGTGGTAAATCAGGAAGAATTGCGGCGGTTAATGAAGGAGAAGCAGCGTCTGAGCACCAATCGGAAACGGATAGAATCTCCATTCGCGAAGTACAACCGTTTGGGGCAGCTGAGTTGTGCCCTGTGTAACACCCCGGTTAAGAGCGAGCTCCTGTGGCAGACTCACGTCCTGGGAAAGCAGCACCGAGAGAAAGTGGCCGAGCTGAAAGGCGCGAAGGAAGCCAGCCAGGGTTCGTCCGCCAGCTCAGCGCCTCAGACCGTCAAGAGGAAAGCGCCGGACGCAGACGGCCAAGACGCCAAGAGAGCGAAGGCCACCTTGGTGCCTCAGGTACAGCCCTCCACATCTGCGTTGCCCACCAACTTTGACAAAATAGGAAAGGAGTTCATTAGAACGACTTCCAGTAAGCCTTCAGGACTCAGTTTACTCCCCGATTATGAAGATGAGGAGGAGGAGGAAGAGGAGGAGGAAGGAGATGGAGAAAGAAAAAGGGGGGACGCCAGCAAGCCGCTGTCCGACGCACAGGGCAAGGAGCACTCAGTTTCTTCTTCGCGGGAGGTAACAAGTAGTGTGCTGCCAGACGATTTCTTTAGTACTAATCCTCCCAAGGCCCCCATAATTCCTCATTCAGGGTCAATTGAGAAAGCAGAAATACATGAAAAAGTGGTGGAAAGGAGAGAAAACACCGCGGAAGCGTTACCGGAAGGTTTTTTTGACGACCCTGAGGTAGATGCAAGGGTGCGAAAGGTTGATGCCCCAAAAGATCAGATGGACAAAGAGTGGGACGAATTCCAAAAAGCCATGAGGCAGGTCAACACTATTTCCGAAGCCATAGTTGCCGAAGAGGATGAGGAGGGACGGTTGGACCGCCAGATTGGGGAGATCGATGAGCAGATAGAGTGTTATCGACGGGTGGAAAAGCTACGGAATCGCCAGGATGAAATAAAAAATAAACTTAAAGAAATCCTGACCATAAAAGAACTGCAGAAAAAGGAAGAAGAGAATGCTGACAGCGATGATGAGGGGGAACTACAGGATTTGTTGTCTCAGGATTGGAGAGTGAAAGGGGCATTGTTATAAGGTTTTAAAGACCCAAGGTTTCTAACAGCCTCTGCTATTGTATAAAAGTGCTGTCTCTCAGTAGTATATCGGTTACTTCATGCCTAGAGATTTGGGTACCTGGATTGCTAAACTGGATTGTTAAGATAAAATGAGCCAGTGAGCTACAGCACTTTGGAAAATTTGTGTAAAATGTTTTTGAGGTAAAGTTGTTTTTGAAATTTCTGAAGTGTTATATACCAAAATGCCAACTGTTCCACAACAGACTTAACTGTATACTTTCGTTGTAAATATTGTACATAGTTAAATCTATATTAAGTAATTCTGTTTTGAATTTTTTTAAATTAATAGACCAACCGGCAAACTTTTAGATGAATGCTCACTGTGGTATTTGTAATGTATTTATCTTCTGAACCCTACATCAAGTTGAAAAGGTTTGTTTTCTTGTTTCTTTGGTTTTTTTAGAACACTTCATGAACACATAAGTCATTATAGGTTAATCAGTTCTCTTAGTATGCTTCATTTTAAAAACAGAAAAATATATGCCAAACACGATCAGCCTCCCTAAACCAGTTTCCCTGGACTAGACCAATGCTGCTCAGATGTGGTTGCACGTGAGAATCACCTATGAAGTATTAAAATAAATTCAAGTGTCTGAGGCCTTCCCCTTCAATAAATCTGGGATGAGGTCCAGGCAACTGTGTTTTTTAAAGCTCCCAGGTTATTCCAATATATGCCAGGATTTAAAGAGTAACTGCCCTAAATCCAGAACCCATTTATGTTTTTCTTTAAATAACATTCCATAAATTTGCTGTTTCTTGAATGAAGGAAATATTATCTTTTATTTATTTCATCCAGCCTTAAATTTTGTTATTTGGTGGTAAATTAGAGTTCCTTGTTTGCAGGTCCTATCTATTGTAGAAAGAATATTTAAGTTGTCTTTCCAGCAGTAACAGTTGGCTCTTGCTGGTCATTGATAGTTTAAATCACTCCTTCCTTTAGAGATTGAGGTACTCAAATAGGAAAAGGGACTTAGCAGTGTTCTGGAGTAGAAATGCATACAGCATATTCAAATAAAAGTGAGCAATAATAATAATAGCTAAGACCTATATAGTTCTTAGTATGGGCCAGGTATGGTTGTAAGTGCTTTACATATATTAACTCAATCTAGTTTCCCTAAATTCCTTTTTTATGGAGAGGAGTACCAAGAGATAAGGTTTGAAAAGCTTTGAATGCTAAGTGAAAACTTTTTATGAAGTTCATATGAAAATGGAGGTTTTGAGCGAAGAATGACATCTGCAAAGAAATATCATGGAACATTAACAGTATATAGAATGGAATGAACACAGGGTAGAAGGAAACTAGGAGCTATTTAAAAACTATATTTTCAAAAGCGAGGTGACAAGACTGATTAGCTGTGGATTGGGAGAAAAGGAATAGAAGTGAAAGATTTTCAAAGGAATAGCTAAATTTTAGTGACTAGAAGTGGAAGAAGAAAAACAGGAGGGATAAGTACGGAATTCAAGATTTTGTATTTAGTGTCACTGCCTAAAAGGATTTATCTAACACTTATTGAACAGTTGCTGTGTACCACAAATTATTAATAATAATTGTCCTGCTGCCTTTGGCAGTCTTCTTCCTTGAGCTGCTAGCTGATCAGTGATAGCAGCTTCCATTTGATGAGACATGGCTTGCTTGCCTCAAATGTGTGAACCCACTGTTACTCAGAATTTTCCCTTCATTCATCACTATTATGCCAGGAAGAAAGTACAAATATAGGTTTGAATGGTGGGCCCAGTATTGCCTTGGCTAACAATCTAGTGGAGTACTGTCCACTAAAGATATAATGCCGCTGGGTGTGGTGGCTCATGCCTATAATCCTAGCACTTTGGGAATCCGAGGCGGGTGGATCACTTGACCTCAGAAGTTCAAGACCAGCCTGGGCAACATGGCAAAACCCCATCTCTACAAAAAATACAAAAAAAAAAAAAATTATCTGGGTGTGGTGGCATGCACCTGTAGTCCCAGCTACTTGGGATGCTGAGGTGGGAGGATCACCTGTGCCAGGGGAGGTGGAGGCTGCAGTGAACTGTGATTGTGCCACTGCACTCCCGCATGGGTAACAGTATGACCCTGTCTCAGAAAGTCAAAAAATATAATGCAAGCCATAAATTTTACATTTTCTAGTAGCCAAAGTAAAAAGAAGTAAAAGTAGTTTTAATGTGTTTTATGCCCAGAATATTAATGTTCCAATATGTAGTTAATATTTAAAATCAATTATTTTTACTACATTTTTGAAATCTAGGTGTATCTAACAGCACATCTCAGTTTAGACTGGCCACACTTCAAGTACTGAATAGCCATATGTGACTAGTGACTACTATAAAAAACAGCATAGATCTAAAGAGTAAGGTATCCAGGTGAAAAGATAAACATGCTCAGGAGGTAGCCAGCATCCAATTTAACTAGAGCAGAGGGTTCACTCCTGGCAACAGTGGGAATTATGATTGAAAATACAGATTAGGAACATGTGGAGGACCTTAAATACCAAGCTCTAAGGAATGTGAACTTTCTAAGTTAACAATTTACCCTTGTAGATTGAGTCCTTAATTGTAACACTGCTTAATAAGTGCCAGGTGTGTGTTACTAATGTGAACCCCCCCATTGGGCTTTTAGGAAGCCCTCAAAATCTGATTCTCAAAGCTCCATTCCAGAGCAGTAGAAATGGGGCCCTGACCATAATCAGTGCCCAATGAGTCCTTGTTGAATTTGAGGTCAGTGTAAACAGCTACAGGAGCTAGTGCATCTTTCCTGATCCACTTATACATTGGAAAGCTCCATTATTATACCTTCTCTGAGCTAAGTCAAACAGGTTTTGGCATTTGACTGAATACCATCATTGTTCCTAAATTGTAAGAATTGTTCCCAAGGACTCCTTCCAGTCACTTCTCATTTTAGAAAGCCCCCTAATTCAGCCATCATCACAATATAGAAGTGTAAATGCTATAAAGGTATCCTCTCACCCAGCTTCACTTACCTATTTAAATCAATACACCTAACTTGGAAGAAGGAAAAAATGCTGATCCAACTAGCCTTCAAATGTATATGTGTCCAGTGCCTTAAAATTTGCTATTTAATGATGGAAGTAATTACTGCTTTTTACACACCAGGGGACAAAATAGGCTATGGAATTAAAATTGCAGGAGAAAATGTAATTTAGGCCTAAAATCTTTAATAGTAACAATCACTAGATTAGTGTGTAGTAATGGAAAGAACCATGGAATTGGAACAGAAGACCTGCATTCAAGTTTCCACTCTACTTTTTAATGGTTAATGAGCTTGGCCAAGTCACGTCTCTGAGCCTTAATTTGCTCCACTATAACATGAAGATATGTAATTCCTCACAGGGGTATGGTGAGAGTCCAGCAAGACATGGACTCATTCTGATGAACACAGAATGGAAGATCTTAATGGAAATAGTGTGTTTCCTGTCAAGTACCAATTGGCTAGCTGTTTGGCTAGATGTTGTGCCAGGGGTTTGAGTAAATATTCATAGGAATGATGACTAGATAGATAACCTTAGATTGCTTTTTCAAACTAATAGTCTTAGCCTATATAATACCAGGAGTATAGAAGATTTAAATTTGAACAAGGGCCGGGCTGTGTGGCTCACACCTATAATCCCAGCACTTTGGGAGACCGAGGCAGGCAGATCACCTGAGGTCAGGAGTTTGAGACCAGCCTGGCCAACATATAGTGAAACCCCATCTCTACTAAAAAATAAATAAATAAACACAAAAATTAGCTGGGCCTGGCAGTGCATGCCTGTAATCCCAGCTACTTGG